CTCTCTGCCCCACCCCCCACTTGTGTACACACACTCTCTCTTAAATAAATAAGTAACATAAGAGATTTTCCCAAGTTTGAAAACTGAGATGGATTGAGTTTAAGTTTTGAACTTCTAAAAAAAATTGAAAACATCATCCTTTTCCTAAATTATTATTATCAATTGGCTTCCATGTAATCAAACATAACTTAAGGCCCAGCTACTCTAGGAAAATATAAAATATACTCTATAAAAGCAATATACAAAAAGAAAATTATTTTTAAAAAGGAAAGAAAATTATTGTTAGCCTAGTAACCTCATGTTGTCCTAGATTGACTAATAATTGGAGGAAACATGGTTTATATGAATATTTATACAGTGTGTTAGCTTAAAAGTAATCTTAAATAAAAGTTTGAAATGGATGCCTGGGTGGCTCAGTGGTCGAGTGCCTGCCTTCAGCCCAGGGCGTGATCCTGGAGTCCTGGGATCGAGTCCCACACGGGGCTCCCTGAATAGAGCCTGCTTCTCTCTCTACCTGTGTCTTTCCCTCTGTCTCTCTCTCTGTCTCTCATGAATAAATAAATAAAATCTTTTTAAAAAATAAAATAAAATGGGAAAAACCTAGCTCTCTAAAACTAAAGCATAGTATTATGTTTAAAAAAAAAGTTTGAGGGGGATCCCTGGGTGGCTCAGCGGTTTAGAGCCTGCCTTTGGCCCAGGGCATGATCCTGGAGTCCCGGGATGGAGTCCTGCATTGGGCTCCCTGCATGGGGCCTGCTTCTCCCTCTGCCTGTGTCTCTGCCTCTCTCTGTGTGTGTCTCTTGTGAATAAATAAATAAAATATTTTTTTAAAAAAAGTTTGAAATGTCAGGAAGCATAAATGAATATGTGAAGGAAGCAGAGATGATGGATTTTTCATGACCACTAATTTTACCATATAATAATTATATTTCATATTTATTTGCCTATATATCTCCTGCTGTGGGATTGACTGGTTGCAGAACAAGTATCCCTTTCTAACATGGAACCTTATTCTCTTTGTATTTCTTAATATTTGACGATTAAATAAAAAACATATAAAGCAATAGGGACTTTGAATTGTGAGTAATGCAGGCTCCTCCCAAAGTGCCAGAGAGGCTGTTAAAATTTTCCCTGGCATGTAACAGATTGCAGAATCCTCTGCCTATAAAGAAGACAGCATCTAAAGTGGCCACAGTCCACACAAATAATACTGAAGCTGGATTTTCTACCTGGATCTAAAAGCATAAGGCAATATGCTTGCATATTGTAACTTGTCCCTTTGGTGATTGCAATTCCAGTCTAAAGATGAAAGTATCCATCAGGCTGTTGTTGGCCTTATTTCACTTAGGAAAGAAGTGTAATAGACATTACTAACCACTTTGTGGTCATGGCAAAAAGGTAACTTTTAGAGGTGAAATGTTAGCAAATATTACCTGAATAGCTCAAAAGTCAAGGTAAAAATAAATGAGTAGCTACAGAAATAGTACTACTCAACATTATGGCTTGTAAATGTATTGCTAATAGGACAAAGTTTTCCTCAGTTGAGGTTAAAACTGAAAAGTATCTCCCAAGTACAGTCAGGGATCAGAGGTTTTATTCTCACAGAAACATAATTGGAATATTATGAGTGTACATAAAACTGTAATAATGTTTCAATTCCACCAATACTTTCTGATTGCTAAATCAGCTTCCCTAATAATATGATTCTAAAACGGGAATAGCCTACATATAGATATTTTCCAACCACCTTGGAAGGTACAGCCGTCTGTGTAATTTAAATTAATTTAGTTTATCAGTGATTATCTTGGGCTTTTGAGTAGCTTGAATGAATCTCTGATCTATTGAGTAAGTTGACCAAATAAATTTGTACCCACAAAGCTGAGATCCATATCCTAGATTTATCAAAATGCAGACACCCACAAATAACCAGCTAGCCCAAATGATAATGTTGCACTGCCATGTAAGTGCAAGTCAGAGTCCAGTGTGAAGTCTTACAAAGTAAGATAAAGGGCTACAATATTTCCTTTTTGTGTTTTGAAGAAACTGAAAGATTTGGAGCATTCAAGGGAAAGATGAAAAGTCTAACGGATAGTAAACAGACAATTTCAGTACTTTGGCAATAGCAAATGATTCATTTTTTAAGAAGTTACAAATCTCTCCTAGGAACTGGTTTATTTCATGCCTTACATAATGAAGAAAATACAGGAGAAAGGTCAGATACTCATCTAAACCTACTGAATGCCAAACAAAACAAACAAAAAGCACACATACAATTTTGAAACATTTGAATGGTGCTCTTTGAATCCAATTTAAAAATTGGGAATCTAAAGCCTTGAAGTGAAATGACTTATTTAAGTAGTCAGTGTGCAGTCAGATTTCATATTCTTGACTTTTCTTCTCATTGCTCTGTCTAATCCAATTGACTTGGCAAGTCTCTCAAGACTGCTGAAGCGTTTAAGTATATATAAGTACAGAGGTGGCTGTCTCGAAACAGAACATGGATTACATACTCAGCTAACTCAGTTGAGAGAACATGAAACTAATCATGTCGGTGCTGTCGAACCTACTGTCCTTGTGGTCAAGAGAGGAAAAATATGAATTAGATTGGAATATATACTGGTATTAAGAATACCCAAGCTCTGGTAACCAGCCTAACTGTTAACATCCCCAATTAACTGTAGGACCTTGGACACACTTTCAACGTATCTGAACTTCAGTTACCTCTTCCATAAAAGTGAAAGAAATTCATACTTATTTAAAGTTCCTTCTAATACCCAAATTCTGTCATTTCAAGTCCAAAATTACATTTTTAAATACACCTTTACAGATTTAAATTAACCTTGGGGAAAAGAAAATTGTTAACTGGTTGGCTTACTTTGCTAATTACCAGAACATATAAGGGATTCCTACAGACTAGGAAATGTTTTATAACAAATCAACTTTCCCCGTATTGACATTATATAGGAAATTAATGACAAAGAAAAGATCTAAAGATCTCAAAGACTACAGTATGATCCAAACTGACACAAGACAAGGTATCAGGAGACCTTGGGATTTTGCAATTAACTGTCTGAGGTCTTATGCAATATCTGAGCCACTACCTAATCCCAGGTACTGTGTTAGGTGGTCAAAATGCAAAGACGAACAGGACATAGTCCTGGGCCTCAAAGAATCCACAATTTGATAAGGGAGATAGCTGGGTAAACAAGTAAGAAATTGCAATATATTTAATTCATTAAGTGTTATGATAAAGGCAAGAGAGCCTGAACAGTGATTCTCAAACCTGGCTGTGCATAAGAATTCCTGGAGGAGCTTTTAAAAAATACAGATGCTCTTGCCCTATCCTTAAGAGATCATGATTTAAATGATCTAAGGGATGGGCCCAGTGAATTAGTATTTTCAAAAGCTCCCAAGGAGATTCTAGTACAACAGATAGGATTGAGAATCATTGAAGGGGCAAGGGGGCCGGGTGGTTCAGTCAGTTAAGTGTCTGCCTTTGGCTCAGGTCATGATCCCAGGATCCTGTGATAGAACCCCACATAGGACTCTCTGCTCAGCAGGCAGTCTGCTTCTCCTTCTCCCTCTGCCTCTTCCCGCCACAGCTTATGTTTTCTTTTGCTCACTCTCTCAAATAAATAAAATCTTTTTTAAAAGAGAGAATCACTGGGATAGGAGAAGGGCACCAAACTCAACCCTAAGGACAAATGATTATGGGCAAAAGACAAGGAGAGAAGAATCAACTTTGTGCAGAGACATGGAGATAATAGACCTCATGGTACATCAGGGGAATTGCAAAGAAGTTTGTTGAGCTCAATGTAGTATACATGAACAAAGAGAGATACAGTGAAAGAAGACCAGGTACATAGGCAGGAGGCAGATCATTATAGGGTCTCTGAAGGACTTTATTCTAAAGTCAATGGAAAGCCAGGAGAAAAGAGATTCGATCTCATTTCTCTTTGAGAAAAACACCTCTTCAGTTGCTGTGGAAGATGGGTTAGAGGGACTAGAAGTGGGGAAACCAATTAAGAGGCTGTGGTAATCTAAGCAGGAAAAAGGGCCTGAACTAAAACAGTAGCAGGTAGAAGATAGGAAAGTAAAAAGTATTCAAAGAGAAAGATAACCAGGAGGCAGAATCAACAGGCAGGTGGACATGGTGTTGTGCCCAAGATTGCGAATCCGAGAAACCACCAAGGAGCCAACACCAATGCAAGCGCACGAAGGTTTATTAGCAAGCTCGAGCTTGGGTCCAAGTATACCCAACTCAGCGGAGCAGGGACTTGGACCCCGAAGTGGGTTACAGCTGGGTTTTTTTATAGGCTGGTCTAGGGGATTTTTCAGAAGGGGTGGAGGAATTTCTCAAGTTCTGTTTACATTCTGATATGGGGCTTAAGGGCATTGAGCTCTGTTCTCATTCTAATAGGGGACTTTCTACCACAGGCATGGGCTCTGTTGTCTTTCTGATATGGGATTCCCTGCCAAGGATATTGAGGACATTCTGCAGTTTTTCCAGTAAAGTTCAGCTCTTATTCACAGGGGCCTAAGATGGCTGTACTTGTGCTAATGCTAAACTTTAGGTGGGATGGCCTTAATTTTTCTCAGTCTCCACAATGTTAAGGGAGAGAGTAAGAGAACTGTACAGCAAATAATTTTCCTTATTTTGTACCTACTTTTGCTTATATGCTAGTGATAGATCTGCCTAGAATGAAACATTTCAGAGGTGGAAAGAATAGCCTCTTACGGACTTGTTAACAATATACAATGTGGTTTGAATCTAGCTATTTCAAAATCAAAACCTATCAAAATAATCAGAGACTGTTTTAAAATCCCTAAATGACTAAATTCCTGACATACTTAAGGTCAAGCATCTAACTTGCATTTCCACCCAGTTTGGTGGGGACAGAGTCAACAGCACTAAAACAAAGGTTTAAGAGATTTTAATTAACACAAATGGCTGTGCTTAAGACTTTAAATCTGTCCAAAGCAAATGGAGTGAAATCCTTCTAATCCTTCACAGCTTCATCTGGCAGTGACCTCAGAAAAAAGAGCCTCTTTCCTACATCATCAAACTGACTTCCTTTAGCTCCTTGTTGTCCTGTGTAGGTCTTTGATCCCAGAATTCTCTACAACAAAGAGGAGGAAAAAAACCACACACACAAAAACAAAAAACAGCTAAAACATCAAGTGCCTTGGCATTCACTTTGTACCCCTAAAAATACTAAATTAGAATGTACTTTAAAAAATAAATTCCAGGGACATCTGGGTGGCTCAGTTTGTTGAGCAGCTGACTCTTGATTTTCAGATCAGGTCAAGATCCTGGGGTCGTGGGATCCAGTCCCATATAGGGCTCTGCATTCAGTGAGGAGTCTGTTTGGGATTCTCTTTCTCCCTCTCCTTCTGCCCCTCCCCTCCTCCCCTTTCTCTTTATCTGAAATAAATCAATAAATCTTTAAATAAATAAATAAACAAATAAATTCCAAAAATCTGCACCCATTATCTATGCTAGCCTTTAAAATCATTTTGAGGGCAGCCCGGGTGGCTCAGAGGTTTAGCGCCGCCTTCTATCCAGGGCATGATCCTGGAGACCCGGAATCGAGTCCCACATCGGCTCCCTGCATGGGGCCTGCTTCTTCCTCTGCTTGCGTCTCTGCCTCTGTGTGTGTCTCCATGAATAAATAAATAAATAAATAAATAAATCTTAAATATATATATATATATATAAAATAAAATCATTTTGAAAATGAAAGTAATTCGGGGATCCCTGGGTGGCGCAGCGGTTTGGCGCCTGCCTTTGGCCCAGGGCGCGATCCTGGAGACCCGGGATCGAATCCCACATCGGGCTCCCGGTGCATGGAGCCTGCTTCTCCCTCTGCCTGTGTCTCTGCCTCTCTCTCTCTCTCTGTGACTATCATAAATAAATAAATAAAAAACCTTTAAAAAAAAAAAAAAAAGAAAATGAAAGTAATTCTTACCACAGGAATTCTTAGATTCATTTTTACTGGTAGCTGCTCTGCCTGTAGTTGTATTGCTCATAGTACCTAGTGGAAACAGGAAAATGAGAGCTTTCTTTGAGTAAAACAAAACAAAACAAAATCTGGTTTTATTTTGAGTTGCAAGGGTACTAATATTCATCACACATTACACACCATATCATTGCATCACTGTGGGAATGACTCTGGTATTAGCATTAATGTGAATTTCCTAACTGTTATTTTAGAATAACTTCAAACAGTATTTCTAATATTTGCCATTTGGAGTGCTAAACTTTTTCTGCTGAGGTTTCATGTCTCACAGGGGGAAGAAAATCATTTGAGGATTATATGCAAGCAGAAACAATTTAATTTGAGAGCCTACAAAATATAATTTTAATACAACTTTTAAATGAAGAAATGGGATGAAAATCACATTCATAGATATATACACCCTCAGATAATTCAGATATATATTCCATAAAAATGGCCAACTATGGATAGTGGAAAACAAACAAACAAAAAGATAAAGTAGGCATAGGGATGAAAACGAGGTGGCAGGATGACAAGCATAGACTGAGATAGAGAAGGAGAAGGGAGCCAATAAAAAGGAGAAAAAGGAAGAATTAGAGGATGCTAAATAGGCTCAGTAGTGAATCTGTACTAGGTTAGTTACTAGGCTACCCAGTTACATTTGGGTTTCAATTAACATCAAAATAATTTTTAGTATAAGTATGTCCCATGAAATGTTTGGGATATACTTATACTAAAAAATTAACTACCTTCAATTCAAATTTAACCAAGCATTCTCTTTCTATTTGCTAAATATGACAATGCTACCCTAATAATCCTGCTGAATTTCCAAAGGGTGTGTCATAAAAAAGTTTGGAAGCTATTGTCACTCATTGAAATAATCATAGTAGTAATAAAGGTACAGATGGGGTACCTGGGTGGCTCAGTGGTTGAGCATGTGCCTTTGACTCTGGTCATGATCCCAGAGTCCTGGGATTGAGTCCTGTAGCAGGCTCCCTGCTTGGAGCCTGCTTCTCCCTCTGCCTGTGTCTCTGCCTCTCTCTGTGTCTCTCATGAATAAATAAATAAATAAAATATTTTTTTAATTAAAAAAAATAAAGATACAGTTTATTTTTTTCAACCTTCAAAGTTTATATTTAGGAAAGAAGAATTTTATTCTCCCTCTGGATTTCTGTGGGATTTTATAGAAAGTGAAAAAAAACTTATTTAGAAATTAATTTCATAACATACTATTAGTTACTATAGTAACTACTACAAAGGACTACTATACCATAAACCTAACTTGGACATTCAAAAGATTCAAAGTCGCCTCAAAGCTTTAAAAAGCCTGCATTTGGGAGCATTGCTGTTTATCAAGGACCCAGATTTGAGCATCCTGTCTTTCAGCATTTTAACTTAACAATACTATTGTCCTTTCGGCAGCACCTACTGGAGTATATTTCAGCCACTAGGAAGAGTCATACTAAAGTGAACTAAAGGTTAAAGCCAGGAAGAATGACTTGCTTTGAGAATGCAGGGAGTTTGAGAACAAATAAGGTCTCAAGAGTATTCATTTCCCACCTCACTGGGCTTTCATCTGAATTTATAAGTGTAGCAAAATATTCACATCCAACCTTCAGCTTCTTCTCAAAAGAGCTCAAGGAAATGCCAAGAGTATGAGTTTGGTGGGGGGGAGGGGAGGAGAGCAAAGAAGTCTTCTATCAGAATCAAATGTCTTATCGTCATTCATATTATTACTGAAGATAAACTTCTTAAACTACCTGCAGGCATGATGAGAAATTACCTGAATTTGAAGATTACTTCTTGCCTGTGCTCTCTAAGATAGGTGGCTGCCAAAGGCCACAAACTGTTCTCTTAACTCTACAGAAGCCAGGGAACGGCTGTTACACAGCCTGGGTCAAATTGTAATTTTACACTGGTGGGAAAGTAAATCCCTTCAAATGTGACCCGTTCCCAGAAGGCACTCACTTGGTGTAAAATGTTTTTCCCTTCTATAAGACTAAGTGAAGCGTATGCCAGACAGATTAGACTGAATAGTGGTGATGCTGTAATCAGACCCTCAAGAGAATTTGAAAGTAGGGATGGATTAAAGTGTAACAAACTAATATTAACATGGGATTGTATTTTGCCAACCAAATAGTTCACACCACTGCAACACAGCCAAACAGCACACAGGATAGTTGATGTGGGAGAAGGGATTCTTGGCCAAGAGCAGTGGGAGAAACATTTCCTCTACTTGGAAACATCTAGAACAAAAGAACCTGTACCCGGATTTGCTGGGAGGTTTGTCCAAAACTATATTTCATCTTTTAAGACAGGTTTGTGAAACCAAATTCATTTGAAACGAGAGGAAAATGAGCCATCTGTAGGAATATTTATTTACCACTTAAACTTCAAAAAATTACCGCCTTGTATAATTGCCCAACTCATTTTATAATTTAGTGTCCCAATTACCTGATTTCTCTGTGGTTGAAAGAAACAGTATTATATAGAGATTGTGGAGGAAGTGGACAGCGGATGTTTTTAGAACGGAGGGAACTACAGTTCAGGGAGTAGTATAGCAGGTAAGGATTGTACAGTAAAATTCTGAATTTAGTAAGGTCTAACCAAGGCTGCCAGTTTTACACCTCAGTGCAAAAGAGCATGGCAGAAAACAGCAATTTTTTTTTTCATTTGATATATATATATATGTAGCACATTTTGTCCTAAGAGTAGTAGAAGACCAATCTGTCCCACAGTATTTCAGGGTTCCTGAATCACCATTTGTGGACTAGAAGCCTGGACGTGATTGGTGCCACCTACTGGAGTAAATGCAGAATTACAAACTGTCAACCTATTTTAAACTGTTTACTACAGAACAAATTACCCTCAGGGAGTATGTTCTCTTCATTGGGAGGATTATACATTAAACGGTGATAAGTGCGGATTTAAATCATAGCCTTTGGGATCCCTGGGTGGCGCAGCGGTTTGGCGCCTGCCTTTGGCCCAGGGCGCGATCCTGGAGACCCGGGATCGAATCCCATGTCGGGCTCCCGGTGCATGGAGCCTGCTTCTCCCTCTGCCTGTGTCTCTGCCTCTCTCTCTCTCTGTCTCTGTGTGTATGACTATCATAAATAAATAAAAATTTAAAAAAAAAAAATAAATCATAGCCTTTGAAGGGGAGGAGGGCGGGGGGGTGGGGGTGAATGGGTGACGGGCACTGAGGGGGACACTTGACAGGATGAGCACTGGGTGTTATTCTGTATGTTGGTAAATTGAACACCAATAAAAATTAACTTATTAAAAAAAAATCATAGCCTTTAGAGGTGGAAGAGGGATGAGATATCCCATACCTTAACACTGCCACTTTCTGCACATTCTAGGAGATGAGCTTTGGATACAGAAACCAGAAGCTTGGCTTCTCTGAACTAGTTTCTTGTTCAATCACACCTACCCCATAGAGTCACCGTGAGCATTACACAAAACCACATGCTTTCAACATGCTCTATAATATGTTTTGATTGTTTTAGACAAAGAAAAAAACTGAAACTCAATGACTTGCCCAGGTTATTTACCTGTTTAGCTTCAGAATAAGGCCTGCAACTCATATATCTGATTCTAAATCCAGTGCTTTTTCCATTAAAATACTGTTTCTAAAAATTTGATGGCAAGATGACTTTTGAGTGGCAATTGAGATATATTTAGGAGGTGCTAGAACACATCATTAAATATTATGTAAATCACAGTGAGAAAATTACTTCCTTTTCAATTCTTCAAACTTGAGGCCTCAAGGAGAAAGTTTCAGTTTGTTTGCCGGTTTTCTTTAAAACTCTACATCTTGCTAATCTCACTTCCTAATAAAGATAAAACAGACCTCAGACTTTAGCATCTGGTTAGAAAACTAAAATTTGGTTTTCAGTATGCTTATCAAGTTTACTTTCGGTTATGGAAATAATCTCTCTAGATGACCATCAGCTAATTGTAAACAAAGTAAAACAAGGATTTGTTCTCATATCCTCATCTCCTACATCTTTTTAATTTACACCTTGATGGCTTATTATTGCTTCCGACTATATTCTAGGTTCTTATTTGAGAAGAAAATCTTAAGCTTTCTGCTGTTCAATTCCTATTAAAACAAAGTCAAGGGCACCCAGCTGGCTCAGTTCATACAGCATGTGACTCTTGATCTTGGGGTCATGAGTTTGAGCCCCACATTGAGTGTAGAGATTCATTGAAAATGAAATATTGTTTTTAAAAAAGAAAAAATATAAGTGGAACACTGGCTAAAGGATGGGTAGTCGATCCAGCCTTCCAGATTTTGTAAATTATAAATATGGGTCAAGTCAGAATGCCAGTGCTATGTACCTGGACCAAATCATCTTGAATTGACCATTGCTTTTTTAAAAATTTCAAGTTAATATTTTTTATTAGATTCTGCCAACAAAAAGATAAGGAACAGCCTAGAAAATTTAGATTCTGAATTCATTTTAGAAATATCATTGAGGGGACACCTGGGTGGCTTGTAGTTCAGCGTCTGCCTTTGGCTCAGGGCATGATCCTGGGGTCCTGGGATGGAGTCCCACATCAGGCTCCCCTCAGGAAGGAGCTTCTCCTTTGCCTCCTTCTGCTTATCTCTGCCTCTCTCTGTGTCTCTCATGAATAAATAAATAAAATATTTTAAAAATATATTATCGAGGATATTACCTACTATAACACATTCAGTGTCCTGTCTCCATGGAGGAGAAATTTCTCTGTTTTTAGTACTAGTAAAAGCAATATTTCTTGAGCAAATGGTTTATTATTATTTTGTGAACACCGTAAATCTGTTTCTTTTTCTGAGAAATCCAGAACCAAGTTTGAAGCCAACTTCTACCAACTATTATATAGCACTTTCATTATACATTTTCATGTGTTTACCTGGTTTTAACTTATTTCCCCTTTGGCTTGATTCACTCATCTATTTATTTAATCTTATGTGCTGTGTGTGATTTTATCAGCTGTTCAAGCCCTCTGTGGAATAAGATTGAGAAGAACTTAGAGATATAGAGGGGCACCTGGGTGACTCAGTTGGTTAAGCATCTACCTTCAGCTCAGGTCCAGATCCCAGGGGTCCTGGGATGGAGCCCTGAGTCAGGCTCCCTACTCAGTGGGGAGCCTGCTTATCCCACTCCCCCTCCCACCTACTCATGCTCTCTCTTGCTGGAGCTCTCTCTCTCAAATAAATAAACTTTTAAAAATCTAAAAAAAAAAAAAAAGGCAATGAGGGATACACATATTGACTCTGATATTGATAAAACATTGTCATCGCCTAACCATGATTTTTCACTGCATGTGCTTTCTTTAAAATACAGAATTCAGATTCATTCATAGATCCCTGAAAACTTAAGAACTCTTTCTCCTGCTCCTCAAAAGACATCCCTTTATTTCTTTTTTTTGTGGTAAACTATACAATTTCCTTTAATGATGCCATACATTCTTTGTGGGGGAAACGTTGAAAATCTCGGAGGAATATCTGGATTGGTGAAACTCACAACCACTGTCAGATGTCTATCTCTTTGGGCTTCTGTTCGGAAATAGCAGAGCTATTCCAATAAGATTCATGAGACCAAACTACAATAATTCCTAGGAAAGGGGTGCAAGTGGGGAGGAAACTAATATTTTATCAGGCACCAATTTTGTACGAAGTACTTATACTAAGTACATAATATGTGACTTAGTCCTTACAAAAGAAAATTTCAGGGATCCCTGGGTGGCACAGCGGTTTGGCGCCTGCCTTTGGCCCGGGGCGTGATCCTGGAGACCCAGGATCGAATCCCACGTCGGGCTCCCGGTGCATGGAGCCTGCTTCTCCCTCTGCCTGTGTCTCTGCCTCTCTCTCTCTCTGTGTGTGACTATCATAAATAAATAAAATTTAAAAAAAAAAAAAAAAAAAAAAAAAAAAAAAAGAAAATTTCATTTCCTCTGGAGGAATCCATATTTTACAAGAGCTTCTGAGTAATAATAACGATAGTGATAAAATTTATTATATCACTACTAACATTTAATTTACTGTGTGACAGGCATTGTGTTGATCACTATATAAGTAATGGAATTTTCACTGTAAAATAAAATAAAACCTCAAAGTATGTACCTATGATACTCCACCTACCTCGGGACCTAGGAAGATGAAAATATGCTTGCTTTGGTTCCAAATTCTGCTGTAAGTATAGTGATAATTTCAGGTCATTGGCCTTCTGGTAGTTCTTCAAGGCTTCAATTCTCAGCTCAATCACTTTGCCATTAAAGTCATTCTACAATAGAACATTTTCAAAACTACTCATATAGTACTGCCTTCTCGAAAGCACCTGTTACCTAAATCCTTTTTGCTTAGAAGTTTAAAACGATCCCATCATATTCAGTCTTTAAAGTTGGGCAGAGGGGATCCCTGGGTGGCTCAGCGGTTTAGTGCCTGCCTTCACCCCAGGGCATGATCCTGGAGTCCTGGGATCGAATCCCACATCGGGCTCCCTGCATGGAGCCTGCTTCTCCCTCTGCCTGTGTCTCTGCCTCTCTCTCTCTCTCTCTCTCTCTCTCTCTGTCTCTCATGAATAAATAAATAGAATCTTTAAAAAAAAATAAAGTTGGGCAGAAAGTATTTGTGATTTTCCCCCCATTTCAAATAGAACAAAATCAAGATTATAGGGAAAAAATGTATTTAAGTTATTCAAGGTGAAGTTAGTTATAGGTCTCTGTAGCTATCCTCATGAAACACTTCTTTTAGCATGATAATTGGTAACTCAAAAGTGGGAATTGGGATGAATATGAATATGATGAAAATAAAATACTTTATATTATGTGAATGAAATTGTATGCCATGTCCAGCCTTGGAAGATCTTAGTACCTGAAGGATGTTGGCTTGTTCCTGGTACCTGACCCATTCCATTTTCCTCTGTTGCTTTTCCTGGTGGAAGAAAGAGCCTCTGGGTGACAAAGCAAATTGAGATCAGAAATCAGTGTTCTCAATATGCTTCAAAGACTTCATAGCAAAAGTACAGTGTCATAGATTCACTCATAAACTGGTTTCAACTGTTAAGTCCTTTCAGTAGGGCCTCACCTGTATAATCAGTGCTAAATGAATAGAATCATTTTTATGAATAAGTTTGCTGTAGGAAGATTAGATATAAGCATAATGCTTCTAAATAAATGTTCAAAAACAAATTAGCTATTATTTTGACATCACATAGTCATTATGGAGTTGTCATTGTTGATTTCGTTTCTCCTACTTTGCTCTCGCTAACATGATTTCCAAGAAACTTTCAGTGTCACTCTGATTCAAATATAATATCCCAAGGGAACTAGATCTCCTATAAAATTTCTATCAGTTCAGAAGCACACAGTAATTTAGACAGGCTACTGCTACATTAAAAATTTTAATCTATCAGCTCTAAAAGCTGCTACCATTCAGAAAGGTCACCCTACCTTTCTTTTCTCCTTCAGTTTCTCTGCACATGTCTCCAGTTCGTTTTTGGTCTTCTTAAGTAATGAGGGGGTTTTGAGAACCTAGAATAAAAGCAGAGAGCTAAAGGAATAGAATATCCCAGGAAAGAAGTATAATATCTCAGCAGACAATAAATCCAATGTAACCTAAATGCCCAAATTCTAACTATCTGGCCAAATTAGCCCTGATTGTCAATAGGCTATTTCCAGCAGTGTGGCCTCAACAACCGATGAAATTCCAAGTACTATGTAGTCCACTTGCCTTCCCATCCTGCAAGTCTGCTTTGTTTTTTATCTGTGGTGCTTTTTGTTGATCACCAAGGTCTTCTGTATCGAATGTCTGTAAGAGACATTTTGGCAAAGCTTTAAATTAGTGGGAATTAATGAGGGAAGTAGAAAACCAATATAAGTCAAGGCTTTTGGTTTCTGCCAGTCAGCAATCTGTCAGGGTTTGACGTGAAAAGTATACTACCAAATGGGGTTCAGAATGGAACAAGCCCTTCCATTTGGTCTCTTGAGTGTACCTTATAATAATAAAATCTATTAACTCTACCCTTATTAACTCTGCCATCACTACTGTAAGCTACTTACACATTACTTATTTACAATACTACATTATAAACTTTCTCATTTAATCCTCACAGGACTATTTTTATTTCCATTTTATAAATGAAAAAAAAAAGATTTGGAGAGGCTAAGTCATTTATTTAGGGTCCTACAGCTAGAAGAGTACAGAGCTGGAATTTGAACCAGGTCTTGTGGACTCTGAAACCAATGTTCTTAACCACTGGGCATACTGTCCTCTCTCCATTTCTCACTGTCTAAAATTATGAGTAGGGAAAGCCAATCACAAGCTAATGTATGTGGACATGTTTTATAAAAAATCTTTTGGGAGCTTTGGAGAAGCTAGATTTTGATAGAGGAATTGTGCTGGCACATTTCCTAATACAAGGACTCAAAAATCAAGAAGTAAAATTGACAATTCATAGAACTGATTTGTAGCTGCCTCTGAGAAGTAGGAGCAGATCTCAGGTCAAGATGCAGGGCTTGATGGTATCCTGATTATTTGTGGGAAGGTCAGATGAAAAAAACAGAGATCACATCATACACTGTTTATATCGCAAGGCACAATCTGTTCTTCTAGTCTTATACTCTATGAAAAAGCACATGGATCTCAAGGACTTAGTCCACAAAGGAACTTCCATCTCCCTACCTAGTTTCCCAGCAAAAGGTCCTACTCTTATATTTTAAACAATGCAGTGATTGTTGCAAAATCATAGGAGAATTAGAATTCATACGTTCATTCATTCAACTTAACATTTATTGTCTACTATGTTCCAAGCATTGTGCTACATGTTAGAGAGTCAGAGATGAATAAAGCAATCAAGAAACTGGAGGAGCTTGTATTCCAGAGGAGGTCAGGGAGACAAGAAACAAGTATAATAATAATAATAAAGTGAAAATAATAAGCTTAATTATAAAGAGTGCTATAGAGGACATGAACAGAATTATATAATAGAAAGTAGGGGAGGGGTGTCCTATTTTAGGTGGGTTAAACAAGGAGGGCCATTTAAGCAGAGACTTGAAGAATAAGAATGAGCTAACCAAAAGAAAATAGTATTAAAGGCCAGGGATAAAGCAAGAGCAAAAACCTTGAGATAAGAAAGGTCTGGCATGTCTGAGAATCCACAAGGAGGCCAGTGTGGTGGTTGCATAGAAAGTAGGGAGAGAACTTCCTTGAGAGGAGGAAGGTAGGCAACAGCCATATTTTGCCACAATAAGGAGCAGCTACAAATGATTTCCATAAGGAAAGTGACATGATTTTATTGATTTCAAAAATATCACTTTGGTTGCTGTGCAAAGATTGGAATGAGGCATGGGTGAAAGCAGGGACATGACAAAATGAGAACAGGGACCAGAAGAAAGGGAAGTTCTTTGAATTAGGGTCTGTAAGACAATACTATCAAGAGATCCTTAGAAGCACACCTTGTTCCATAGCATCTCCATTTCCTTCCAAAGCATTTTGTTTTTCCTTTCCTGTTGGAGGGGGAAAAACCAAACAGACACATGTTTATCCAGTTATTAAAGAGAAGTTGGAAGAAATTATTAAGTAATGAGGGGAAAGGGATGGGAATGTTGATATATAGCAAACTATACAGGATGGCAATAAATAGGTCTAGCCCAAAATCTAGGAACATGTGAGACGAGTTTGATGATGATGATAATACAAAAATAATAACAATTTTGAATAATAATTATAATTAAGGTTATTATAGTATCATATCAATAGAAATGAGTCCCTCACACAACACTTAAGATGTTCTGATCATACAGCAATTACTTTGGGGCTTAGACCACTAATTGCTAATTTTTAAGATCCTTTACCTTGTTGGTTTTTAAAAATCTTGAGTCTCCCAAAACAAACTATTTCTCTTATTTTACTTTGGTATTTTCTATTTTTTATGAAATGTGAAGCACTAATATGCTTGTATTACTAATCTCTAGATGAAAAGTTTTTTTTTAAGATTTTATTTATTTATTCATAGAGACAGAGAGAGAGAGAGGCAGAGACACAGGCAGAGGGAGAAGCAGGCATCTTCTGCCTGACGTGGGACTCGATCCAGGGTCTCCAGGATCACGCCCTGGGCTGCAGGCGGCGCTAAACCGCTGCACCATGGGGGCTGCCCTAGATGAAAATTTTTAAAAGTCAAAGAAATAGATTTTTTGCTAGCTAGTCCTGAGTCTGCCCAACATTTCATCTGACTCCTTTCTAGATCAAGGAGAAAAAGTATTGGAGCCTCAGATGCTAGAGATGAGTTCTCCATCTTTCCTTCCACATCTGATGATAGCAATTGAATTAAGCCTCCTTCAGGAGGCCATTCCCTTGGAGTGCCCACCAACCTCTTACCAGATTCTGCTTCATCTCCTCTGCTTCCTTAATGAGCTCCACGACTGAGGATTCTTCACTCCCCTTCCCTGCCATGATCTGCCTCATGATCTGCAGGCTAGAAGGAAGAAAAATACATCACAAAACATAGTGTATCCAAAAATAAAAATAAATAAAAAAACATAGTATTTCCTAAAGAGTAATATTAATATTCTCAAGCAATCAGAAAATACTCGACCATGGGAATGAGTTGGGTGCTGAAATCACAGGAGTTATGGAATTCCTTCTGGACATAGAAGGTCTCTTTAGGATGAGTTCATCCCCAATCAATATTTGCCATAACTATGTGCTTTATAATGAATTCTGTGTTTAATAATGTTCAAAACTTAGATGTCCAGCAGCCAGTGAGGGTCTTCTTCACCTATTCAGAAAAATGTTTGGTGTATGGCTTTTGAATTGGAAAGGGTGATTTTGCCCTTGTAAAGGAGGAGGTAAAAGAATCTGTTGTCTTCAGCATAAATCCCAGAATTGTGTTCTACCCCATCTCTGTTTGTATTGTTTCTCCATATAAAAGATATTTGAGTTAGTTGGAAAAAGCACTTATGTCCTTATGGTAGCTACCAACATACAATCCAAACCATCAAGAAGTTTCTAACAAAATCTGAATCAATACCAAGTAAGTCAAAGACTATTCTTTAAAGACATTAATTTATGTTTCTGTTTATTATACGTTTTACTCCTTCATTATAAGCAGAGAAGCAAAGCTTTGTGTTCTCTTGTCCCAAGAGATGTTTGTTTTCGCATTGTAAGCAGCTGGTGCTTGACCACAACTTTCTGCCTAACTTTTGTTCTCCAAAAGTCTGGGCTTCCTGAGATACTTTACAGTAAGTATAGAGAATGAAGGTAGAACCATTAAGGTGAGATTCTTTCAGACTAGAAAGGAAACAGAGTTGGTGGGTCCTAAGAACAATGAATGCCCTCATTAGAGTGGAGACTTTATTTGCCTAATGTATTTAGAGAGGCCAGACCCTAATCCAGAAGACTCCTAGGCCCAGAAGATTTTTCACTATTTCACTGCTTGGCATGGGAAGAACAGAGTCATCTATTTTAAAGTGATTCTACAGACATGAATAAAGAGCTATCAGTGTAATCATGCTAGACTGAAATACCAAGGCTCTTCTCTGTTTCTTGGGTGAGCATTCTAGGGTCAAAGAGTAATAACTACAGCCTCTTGAGATGAGGGCTGAGTAATATTTAATTTTACTTAAAAAAATTAAGGATTACTTGCCACATTTTGTGGTTACAAATTCTTTACTATAGCTAAATGTCTAAATCTTTTTAAAAATGTAAATGATCATTGTTAATCCTCTGGATTGAAGTTTTCCAGGCTTTTCTCCTTTAGGAAACCCTAAGTAGAGAACCCTTACCTTCTTTGTTTTTCCTCCAAGTTAGACATCAACTTCTGGAATAAGAGATTGTTCTTATCGTCAAGAGGTTTTAGCATCTCTAGAAGTTCCTGCTTCCTTAGCTTTAAGTCCTCATTCAATTCCTTCAAGTAGTTGTCATCTATTTTGGAACATCTGTGAGAAGAATAATATCTGCCTCTAGCCTAGGTTAATACTAGATTCCCTCCTTTTCCCTCTGGATAGTTACCACTTGGCATCTTCTGTTCATGACTCACCTTGTTTTTGAGGGCAAGTAAGATCCTGAAGGGTTTGAACCACTTGTCATCTTGAAGGGAAATTTCTACTCTAAGGATAGAGAGGTCTTCTTGGAAATATGTGCCTTCTTGGTCCATTCAGTTAAGTCGTCATTTTTGTGCTGCTGTTCTTGAAACTCCTGTTGCATTGGACTGAATTTTAGCTACAGCTTGAGTCACAATGGCCCTAAGATCACAGAATCAACAGGTCTTTGTAAGTAACTCCAACATCAATGACAGCTTATTGAATGAAAATACTATTAGATATATCTGATCAATCTTGCCTTAACTTTAACCAATGCCCAATATTTTATTCTGAAGTCCTTTATTGAATGGGATAGAATCAGAACACATCTATATTATAGAATTCCTAAAAAATGGTGGCCAGTCAAAATTAGCTCATGAACACTGTCTTCCACAGCAATTAACCTGCATGAAGTATCTATTACCTGGAGGAAACAGTGCCAGATTCTGTGAGCAAGGAAAAGATAAATACAAAACATCTACCCTCCGAGTGTCTTAGGAGGAGAGAAAACCCCTAAGAAACACTTTTGAAAAATAGAGGCCAAACTGGCAAATGTAAGGTATGGGTATAATATTGAGTAATATATGAGCCAGTAAGGTATGGGTATAATATTGAGTAATATATGAGCCAGTTGTCATTATTTTCCTATCTTTAAGACTTGATATATTTCAGTGGCAAGGAAGAATAATATTGGACACATAGCAAGAGAACATAATTTCTGAAAAATCCATATTGTCAAGTATGTCCTTACATAACCAGGCTTTTTCTTGAGAGGCTATAATTCTACACTTACCTCCAGATTCCGATTCTGCCCCCATTTTTCTCTCCTTGCTAAAACCATTTCTCCTAGACCCTAAGATCTTCTGTCTTCATCTGTGTAACTTAGTGAGCAGAAAATAACCCAAAGAGTTACACATTTGTTTCTTCATGTCCTTTAAAAACACTTTTAGGGCACTATTTTTAAGGATGCTCTCAAGTGTGAATTAAGTCATGTCAATTTCATGTATTTCAAGTATTAGCTGAACGTTTCTGTGCATCTTCTAAAGACATCCTCAAAGTAACTTAACCTCTTTGTGTTTTGGGATACCTTAAAGGCAGACTTTTGTAATGGAAATAACACAAGATTTAGTTTGTCAGATCTTGATTTGAATCTTGGCTTCAATGTGAGAAGTGAGCTATGAGCAAGTAACCAAATTCTCTTAGCCTCTGGTCCCACTTTTGTAAGAATGAGAATGGTAAAAAGGTTTGAATGAGAATTAAATGTAATGAAGATCCTGGCTCATGTCAAGTGTTCACTTTTTAGTGTGGTTTTGGTTGGTTTGGTTTGGGGGATTGTATAATGCCCTAAGTAATACAAAATGCAAAAAAGCTGATTTGTATGAGGCTGATGAAGCTTAAACTTCTGAGCCTTTCATCTTTACGGACCTCTCTCAAAGCCACATACTTCATTTTATATCCATAACTTTCTATTCTTATTTAGAAAGGGAGAACTCCCCAAATTATATACACTTCAGGGCCCCAAAAAACCTGGATTTGCCCCTAGTTGGGTCTGATACATATCTAAACTTCTGTTTAGGCAATCTCCACAAATACTTTTTCTACAGCAAATATGTGTCACTTGTAAGTTATATATGATAGCTACTGTAATATAACATTAAATTAGAACAGCCATATCAGGTGGAGCAAAGTATAATTCACACTGGTTGTCCTAGGAGTTCCCATGAAAAGTTTGAGTTCAACGAGGGTGAACAAACTCCACACAGTTAAAAGAAGGAACTAAGTGGACTAATTATTCTTAGTTTTTTAGACTGTAGATATAGGTAGTAGCAAATAGTAGAGAACAAAAATGGCATTGATACTAAAGCACGGCCTCTTTAAATTTTATGTCTTGACATTTGGTTGGCAGAATAATGTTAGAATTTTAAAACACTTAATGGGCATGCAGCATCCCAACTCACCTTCCTTTGTGTCCTTGCTTGCAAATGATTCTTTGGGGAAGAACATTTGCTATTCTGATGTGCTCTTTTCTATAGCCAATCAGCACCTTTTATTCCCTAACATTCCAATGCTTGTTTCTTCAACTTGGAATATGACTTCCAAGAAGAATATGTGTCTTGGTAATAATATATACAGGCTTTATAATAAAGAGCTTAAAATTAAAAACTAGTATTGCATGGGGATAATTGATAGACTACATTATTTCCGGGACAGAGGTAGGGAGTGTGAAGATATAGATGACCATTAGAAGTGGAAAGGAGGAAAACTGAACACTGATTTTTTTCTGCAATAGAAAGTTAGGTCATCTGTTGATTGAGAAAGGATAGTAGGAAACTTGGGAAGAGCCATGACTTGAGGATTAGAATAGCACCTGAGCCATGGAAAAGGAAGCCAACAAGGCAAGAGTGAAAGATTGCCAAGTAGTGCTAAAGGTCAAGGTGAGATTGGGAGTTGCAGATTTGTCATGGCATGAATCAGCAGTTATACAATTTCTCCAGCAGTACTTGGCAAGCTAGAAGCAATAGTAGGGAGAACAGATGGTTGTTTGACTCTGAGCTGCGACTTGGCAGAATGGACTAGCAGAAGTTCAAGGAGTAAGGGGGCTGAGCATGCTGGTAAGAGAATCCATCAAGGAGAGGGTGGATCATGGTGTTCGGGCTATGCAGGGAGGGAAATGAAGTGTAGGTGGCTAGGAGGGGAAACCAGGAAAGGATTGAGTTTAAGGAGTCTAAGATAGAACAGGAGGCTATGGTCAGTGAACATACTTCTTATGAAATAACTTGTGGAAATTCACCAATGTCTAGATAAATTGTAGTAGCAAATTGTATTTTTTTCCTGCAGTAAACATTGTTTCTTTGTCACTGTATAATATCCACTGAAATTCGTATGGTACCCCAAAATAGGCCTTATAACAAGCTATTCACGATGACCTCATCCAACATTATAACATTTGATTTTAGTATCTGTTAAGAAAAGGCGAGATTGCTCTATAATTAGAAAACTCAGAGCAAAAACATTTTAGTGTTAGTTTTACCAGTAAAAAATCAGATTAGCTTAATTAAGCCAGGTCTCCTAGAGTAGAGGCAATTATTTTCATATTAATGGGAAAAAAGTGAGAGAGAGAAAAAAGATTTCCTATTTCCCCTCCCTCAGTTTTGGTTGTGGCAACAAAATTAGAGAATTCCTCAGGGAGGAAACATGAGGACCTTCTGGTCCTTTCTGACCCAGAGCCACCTCAACTCTTGAAGACGTTATAAGAATTCCATGAACTAAAGTAAGGCGAGAAGTGTTGGCAAAATCATAAGCAAAACCTGTAGGGTCTTAAAGATCACCCACATCTCCCTGTGAGGCTGTTAGGACCTCTTTGTTGTCTGCTTTATCTCCCTATAGCTGACCTAAGCTAGGCTGCATCTACATCTGGGGTGAATCCAAGTAGTTAGGAAGATTGAGATACATTTCAGGACTCTTGAATTCCCTATGTTACTCTCAAAATCTTCTTGAAAGTGATGCATTCTCTCAGTGTATTCAGATACTTTATACAATAATCTTCAAACTGAGGTACGTGAACTTTCACAAAAGCATTTCAAGAAATGAGGAAACGAGGGTGGTTTCCAGTGGGTTTTTTGCTGGATCCTCAATTTCCACAAGTACTCTTTACTAAAATGGATCTGCTTGCAGATGCCCCTTGGCCACTTTCCCCATCTCCTTTTTCTTAATTACATTTTCTCCTCTTGTTAAAATGGAATTAGCTTTCAACCATCTGAAATCTTACTTGGGCAACTTGTTTATCTTACTTCAGTGATTTGTTTTGGGGATGTCTTTTAAAAACCTCTAAGGCAGGGGGATCCCTGGGTGGCTCAGCTGTTTAGCGCCTGCCTTCAGCCTAGGGCATGATCCTAGGGTCCTGAGGTCAAGTCCCACATTGGGCTCCTGCATGGGACGTGCTTCTCCCTCTGCCTGTGTTTCTGCCTCTCCCTCTCTCTCTTCCCTCTCTCTCATGAATAAATAAATAAAATCTTAAAAAAAAACCCTCAAGGGCATTAAAAACTCACCACGATTCAAAATGTTGGTGTTGGGGTTAAATAAAGGAAATGATTATTAATGACTGGTTTACAAATTATTGTACAGGTCAGGTGGTTTCCCATTCTTTGTTTTCAACAAAATTGAAGGACGACCTAATCAAATTGTCAGCTTAAATTTATTACAAATGAGATTTGATAATAAATTACTATATGGGTTTGGCTTATAATTCAGGAAGATAAAAAATAATAATAATAATTCAGGAAGAATTCAAAGATTTCAGTGACCCTGCTCTAAGAGAACATCTTTCAGTCCTAACTACTTGTTTGTGTAAACAAATTTTTTCAGTGAGTATCATATGTAAAGCAAATAATATAAATAAAATTGATGCTGAAGCCTATATTATTCTACTGGTAAGTGATATTCACCCATAAATATGTGAACTAAATGGGGGGAGGGGACAGTCTACCCATCAGTTAATATGAGCATTTCCAAAACAATTTGTTATACTAAAATTATTTATGAAAAAAATAATTTTTTCTTAGTTGTGTACTGCCAACAATTATGCTAATGTAATACTGAAAAAAACTTTAACAGTTGGAACCTTAAGGTCATAGGAAATAAGAAATAAAATTTCAATGTTGCACGCATATTTTGCAGAGAAGCATGATAAGGTGATAAAAAAAAAGTCTTCCAAGCATAAAATACATTATATTTAAATAAAGTTCTGTGGGGGAAGTGGGATGGAAACATGAGTTCAAGGAAAAAAAAAAGGAGAAAAATATAAAAATTTTGCCTGCTAAAGAAAGGCTTATTCATGGTTTTAGATGTTATTGGATTATGAGTTTTCAGATTCATTGCGTAAATTTATTTGAAGATGTCAACATTATAATATGCCAGAAATTATGTTTTCTTGTAACTACCTAATTTTACCATAATAAATTTTATATGTCAACCTAAAAACATGTGAAATGATACAAAACATGCAAG